AAGTACACAATGTGCTTGAACAAGGAACAGTTTTCAAAATATATTCAATGATGTGTGGCTTTGCTCAAGCTATAGAGCTAACAGTAAACAAGGGATGACTTAAATGTGCACCTTACTGAATCAGGAGTTGTGCACATATGTTGGACATACAGTTTGATTGGCCCCTGTGTGTAAATTGGGGTCCCTTTATGGCCCCTGAGTTAGAAAAACCCTAGATGCAGGCTGTCATGAGGAGACCAAGCCTCATAATTCACATGGCTCAGCAACTGACACCTGACTGAGCTCCCTGTCTGACACTAGAACATGTGGCGAGGAACAAAAACCACAGCAAATAACAGAGCAGTCAATATCACAACATCAAAACACTGCGTTTTAGTATTAAAATACTGCGTCATTACACCCATTACTTCGTATCTGTTTCCTTTGTTCTGCCTTTAGTAACCATGAAGGCGACCGTCAATTGAAATAATCCCCATCTCTTTTAAAAATGTGACAAGCAAAGAGTCATCTGTCATCAGAATTCCTGCCCGGACTGTTTTCATCTGCATAATCTGTTTAATCTGAGTACACTTCATCAACTCCCTCACTCTCTGTCTCACTCTCACAAACATGCTCACACACACATACCTGCACAAGCATTCACAAATCTTTTCAGTTGCCTCATGTCACACACTGACAACCATTCAAGACATCGTGTGTCCATTCATTGCAAGCCCTTCGTGCATTCATTCAGCCTCTCATAGCACACATACACTTCTCCCTGGCCTTATTTTTAGCTTCATCTGATCCATTCACTCTCGTCACAGAAGGAGGTAACATCACATTCTCTTGGAGATGCTTCCTCGTGTCACCTGGCGGCATTGGAGCTGGCGCTGCTGCCAAAACCCCAAATACCAGAGGTTTGATTTGTTGTTTGGTGGGAGCAATGTATGTTTTCCGTGCGTGGGTGTGTGTGTGTGTGTGTGTGTGAGAGAGGGAGTAGGTGGGTTGTACACATGTTACGAAGCGAGGCGCCATTGCGGCCTAAAAAACTATTAGGCTCTGTAAATACACACTGTGGCGAAAGTAAACATTCTCAGCATGCCATCTAGGCGCACAGAGGGGTACTGGGAGACAGCCGCCCGACAGGCTGTGAGGGGGAGGTGTGTGCGTGTGTGTGTGTGTGTGTGTGTGTGTGTGTGTGGACAGTAATCAGTGAGCTGAGAGGGGATGGATATGGAAAATAGAAATTTTACTTGGGGGAAAACTCAAGTGTGTGTGTGTATAATCAAGCCAATCATGATCATGTTGAGTAAGTAAACAACTTAAAGATAGTTTACCTGTGTGTGTTGTTATGACGACCGGGGACCAATTATTCATCAGGAGCACTCCGGGAACACCTAGTGTTTGTGTGGGCCGCTGATGAGCGCTGTCAAACGCTAATGTCTATCTGGAGATTTTCTGTGCGTTACAGAAAGAGGGGAAAGTGTGTGTGTTTGTGCTGTGAGTTTACTCCTTGTTGCACCCGAGGGCCATGAGTTCAAAACAGTATCAACTTTGTGTCCCATTTGACAGATGAGCCAGGTTTCTGATTTAATGGTGAAGGTGAAGACAATAAAGTCAGTTGTAGTTAATGGCGTATTTGTATCCATGCATTTTTACACCCGGGCCTAACACTTCCACAATTCACAGTGTGTGACTCCAGCGTATGTTCCAAACATGCTCCACAAACTTTAACGCACACTTCATGCTGAGGAGAAATCGTGAGAAATAAAAGTAAAACTATGCTGTTCTTATAATAAAAACACGGCCATTGATGCAAAGGGACTATTTTCTGATTCTGAGACCCATGCATGCTGGCAATGGGAGAAAGTAACCATGGAAACAGAGCTCAGAATATGCACTATTCCCAGCACTGCAAGCGCCACGCTACCCACAGCTCTATTTATAGGCCTTACTTTGGGCTTACAATATCTGTTACATCGAACGAGAGTTAAGCTGAGTAATCAGCAAGCGTGACTATACAGAAATGTGACTCTGACACTATGCGTCTGATTGACGGCAGAAGAGTGCGTATGGCAGGAGCACGAGGCTCTTTCTGCAGCCTTTTGATTCTCTTGCTCCAAGGATGCGGCTTGAAACTAAAAGCATTCAGCTGGTTATTGCTTTTCAAACTGCACAAAACAGATGAGGGATACATAACCTGGTTTCAAGAGGATAAGAGAAGGCAGCAACAACAGCGAAAGTAATAACACAAATCATTATGTGCAGGGAGAAACGCAAGAGATGATTTCAAAGCTGAAGGAAGGCTGAGGATGTTGAAGTGGAGGCCAACTAGAGAAACTCAGGCTTGACATCACACGCCGCTCCTCACAGTCCACAGATTTACAGCATACTGAAGTTACCAGCCATGTGACGATTAATCCACAACACTAACTGTCAACCAGTGTCGAGAAAGTCACAGTAAAGTAATGCAGTCGTGTCAGTGATGACTGCACTCATGACTCTGTGTGCCTTTATATGCATTTCCTACTGCTTTGCTTCATCGTGCATAAAATGCAATGGTGGGGTTTGATTACAATCACCTGTCACTTGACAACGGTCACCTGTCGTTTGGCAGCAAAGATGGCCACCGTGTTGATGTAACGGCATGTTATAAATCATGGGGCCGCTCCTGCTGACTCCAGGTCAGGTTTGTCGGCGCTTGATGGGGATGGATGGTGTAGACCAGGATGATTTCGGATATTTAAAACACACATTTGAATTTCAGGTGGAGTTTGGTGAGAGAGGACTAGAATCAACCAATCGGGCCTTGTGTGTGTACTGTGTGTGTATGTGTGTGTGTGTGTGTGTGTGTGTGTGTGTGTGTGTGTGTGTGTGTGTGGAGTGACCAATCAACTGCACATTTCCATCAGCTGCATCTCTATGTCTCTCTCTCACGCACACACATACAATGGTTTGCATGTGTATACGATGTGCATAAACATGAACCTTGTCAGGACCAGCAGACCTCATGGAGACCAAAGCCTGGTCCTCATGAGGCGAAATGTAATTTCTGCGGTCCTGGATAAGGTTAGGGGTAATACATGAATTGTGGTTAGGATAGGGGCTAGGGGGTGGGCATGAATTGGTAATGGTTAGAGATGAAGTTCCGGTTAGGCCGTCCAAAATGAATGGAAGTCAATGCCAATGAAGTCCTGACAAGGACAGCTGCACACACACGGCACTTAACACATCTCTTGCTTCTTCTACAATTAGTAATATTGCTTGACGCCCACATCCACACACACACACACAC